TATTTTCGAAGCTATACCGAATACACAACTAAAGCATCCAGCGACAAAGGACTGTTTACTTGCATAATATATATATATATATACCACTTTTGGAACTCACTTCCTCTTATATCACATTATATTGTTGAATACATTTTCTTGAATCTCAGTGGAGACTCCTGAAAGTTCGATACAAGGAAGTGAAGTCATGATCTTAGAAGAATTAGTAGGAACTCTGGTCTCGCTTGGTTCTCTATTGATCACACAAGTGCCAAACATATCTCGCGAAAACCTACTACGATATCACTGGCTTATATTCGAGGGATGTCCCGAAGACGATGAGTTACAACAAGGACTGATACACCGCGAGTATGAAACCGATGAACAAACAGATTTACCATATTACGAAGAGTTAAATGTATCTGTTTCGACCAACGGCGAAAATCGGTCAAATCGTGGTGTTTGCGAATCATTACGTAGAAGCTTTCAAGTAAATTTTGTCTTACTGCTTGGCGTAGTTTTACTGGGACTGGTCACAATCTCTTTAGTTTACGTTGATTTGAATACAACTAATTCCTGTATCGCATGGCAACATTATAATCACAGTGTACCTTCAACCACGAAAGTGCTACAAATTATCGGCACTTCACTTACGGCTCTACCGCTCTATCTATGGTTTCCAGTAAGTGCAGCGATGTTGTGGGGCTTTAAGGAGCTCAGAAAGAATTATATGTCCTGTGTCTTTGCGTCTTGTTTCACAGCAACTGTCACGATGGTATATAGAGCTGTTTTGTTTGATCAATACTCAACGACGAATTTTAAATACAGGTATGACAATTCTTCAGTTGAAATGTGTACTCTCCCCAGGGCTGTAGACACGGGGGGCCTGGGGGAGGCTTCAGCCCCTCCCCCCTCCCCAATAATTTGCAAACTAGCGATAACCTGTACGGTTTGAGAGGGAAATAATGATCTAATACTGAATTGCCCCTAACAAATCAGCCCCCCCCCCAATACAAAATTCCTTCCTACGGTAGTGTCTCCCAGCAGTAGCTGGACTGTAACCGCTTTTACTCATAGTTGATTGCTTCTCAGCCCATTGCACAGATATTGAGACTGACAACTTCATAGTTCATATCGCCTCAGAAGGAATACTATTCACAGCATTCCACCACTGGGGGGGGGGGGGGGGGGCACCACTATACTTAAAACTTCGTTTAAGGTAGTTTGTTTTAGGTTTTGGAAGTGCTAGATCGACAAATATCATTACTTCGAAGATTATATTCTCTATTAAAATCTTTAATATTAATTATTAATTTTTCTCTAAGCTAGAAATGTAGCGGACTGCTAATTAAGAATTTTGTACATCAAAACGCTCTTCAGCCAATGAAGTCTTATATACATCGAGCGTGGACCATTGCAGATCCTCCATTGCAGATCCTGTAATGTATCTTTATGGACCTTACCGCATGTATCTCACAGTTAAAGGGGAGCAATAATCAAAATATGGCTGAATCAGTGCTTTGTATAACATCTTTAACTGAGAACGCAAAGGAACAAAGCAGGGGTTTAATTCTTCTTAATGCACAAATTCCCTAACATATCTTTTTGCATGCACAAATTCTCAATGTGAATATCAAATAGCAACCTATTATCAAGGTCAACTCCTAGACACTTTTGGGAAGGAACCGATTCAATAATACTATTATTCATAATAATACTATTAGTTACTTCATTGCCTTTAGCACCCAAATTATATGCGGATCGTATTAGAATGTGACTGGAGTTTATTTACGGTTAACCAGGCCATTATATTAATTAAGTCAGAATTTAATCTATCGATAAGATCTTCAGTATCGTACGAAGAAGCGAATATTTGTGTATCGTCTACATATAAACATGGAACTGTGGATTCAAGACCATTTGGTAGATCATTGATGTAAATTAAAAACAACAAGGGACCTAGAGTTGACCCTTGAAGAATTCCACATATTTTTTTTCGTTGAAAGAAAACCATTTACAAACTTTTTTTGGTTTCGGGCAGTTAGATATGATTGGAACCAATCATATTCCACCCCAGTAACTGTCATAAAATTTCAGTTTCTCAAGAAGAATCTCATGATCAATGGAATCAAGTGCTTTGTGAATATCTAAGAAGGCAACACCAGTTAGTTTTCCGTTGTCCATATTTTCAAACCAATTATATTTCATGAACTCCGGTCGAAATATATGAGAATACAACTGGTATAGCTTACCTATTTGTGCTTCGGATCACCTTTTAACACTAGGGATTACCCCCAAAGTAAGCGAAAATGTAGATGTTATACCACCCGGAGCCCGGACCTTTTGCCGAAAGACACTTTGCCGAAAGACATTTTGCCGACGGTCATTTTGCCGAACGGTCGACGTTTTGCCGAACGGACATTTTGCCGAACGGACATTTTGCCGAACGGACATTTTGCCGAACGGACAGTTTGCCGAAAGGACACCTTGCCGAAAATAAAGATGTTATTTCGTCAAAATGTTTGGGACTGCGACACATTTCTCAACTGTGTAATTCTCAACCATTGTGTAAAATAACCAGAGGCGCCAGAACATCGATAATTGGGGGCAGATATTCATATATTCGTGTTCTGCTCAATTAATTTCTTTTGAAATCGATTGTTTTTACAGTCTGTGAACACGAATATATGAATATCTGCCCCCGCAATTATCGATATCCCGGCGCCTCTGAAAATAACCATTATATGGTCATTAGCAGTGCATAATGGATCACTTGTTTGTGCAGCGGATGACTCATTTGTTAGGAACGTGTTTTGACGTCAGATCGTAAACAAACAAGCGTATATAAAGACGACGTAAGCGAATTTCACTTCGAGAATCATGGAATACATTCACAGTTCTCGGGGAAATCGCATTCATAAATGATGTTAATTGATGTTATTCTTTATAGCGCGAATTTTCGGTAAACTTGTCAAAAACTTGAAAGAATATAAAACGAAACTATACTTCACTATCAAAGTTTCTGTCATCAAAATTAATGACTTTAATCACAGAAACTTTGATCGTGTCAGCGAACCTTTAAAGTTCAGAAGATGTCTCCATTTTCGGCAAAATGTCCGTTCGTCAAACTGTCCGTTCGGCAAAATGTCCTTTCGGCAAAATGTGCTTTCGGCAAAATGTCCGTTCGGCAAAATATCTTTCGGCAAAATGTCTAGCCCGCGTGCAGGCCCAAGGGAACTGATAGTGGGCCTGCAAGCAAGGCCCGGTATTTTGTACTTTCCGCGTTCGCCCACGAACGCGGCATTCTGATTGGCTGTTTGCTGTTGGATTCTTTAATTAGGTCAGTGATTCATCACAAAGGCATAGACAAAGGCTCTCGATAAGCTTAAAATTCGAAAATTGATCACTTTTTTCGATTACAAATGGAACAAGAACAGACTGTTTATTGTTTACTTGAAGGAAGAGATGTTTTTGCCGTTATGCCAATGAGGATTGCTTGTCGTGAGGTGTTGAAATAGCAACTTTTAATACGACTGGGGTATAAAACTATAGTAACCTTTACTTGAGTTTCATTATTAAATTTCGAACAGAATTGATACGTTATATGTTCCTCAAGAAAATTATCTTTTGGTTGATGTTGAGATGCAGTTGCATGTAAGCCTATGCAAAATACTTTGCGATTTACTCTGAACGCTCTCTTCTTTTGTAGAGTTCTCACCAAATGAAATAACTGAAATAAATTTCGTACTTTCCGCCGCCAACAAGAATTGCACACACGATCTGATAAGTGAGACAATTTATTTATAACAATGGCGACAGCGAAGCACACATTATAAATGCTGATGTGGTCGCATGACTTCCCTCACGATTTGAAGTTTGAGACTGGTTTTCTGTTGAAATTCGTCTTAATTTGCCTGTTCCGATTTTAATTGAAAATGAGCACTTGCAAATTTGGCAATTACTGACTGCCTTTCTTGCTTTTTTGGAGTTTTTATAACACAGGCATTTACACACTGTTTCTATTTTGAATATTAAAGCAGAGAAAACCCCGCAAGATTTTAATGCGAGTTTGTTTGTTAATATTTGGGTTGCTGTCATTGGTTCTTTTTTGACAATTGACGCGCGAATGGGCGTGTTATGAAAAGAGGCGTTTTACAAAATACCGGGCCTTGCTTGCAGGCCCACTATCAGTTCCCTTGGGCCTGCACGCGGGCTACAAAATGTCCGGCCACCATACCCCCCTGAAAGGCACCATCCCATAACCCTCCAGTGGCTTTTTTACATTGATCGAAACTCTCGAATGGGAAAACGACACGATATCGGTTTAGGCGGGATACGATTTCGACCGCCCAAATTTGCAGCCACCAGTTTCGGTTAGGGACCGGTCATTATTTATGGTGGGGGTGGCACCGAAGAGAAAAGATTTTCGTGGCAAAAAATTTGCTGACCCAACCATTAAAAAGTAAAAAATTTGATTACCTAACCTTAAATATCAGTTAAAAAATAAATACCCACCCCTGGCCAAAAATTTACAAAAAGATATCATTCAGTTGTCACACGTGTCCTTTACCACTTCTGTGACATGAGTTTGATAACGGATTGGGAAATTTTCTGCAGTATAAAGTTTCATGTTGTCTGCACATGTTCTTTCTTTGGAGACATGCATCAAGATAGTGACTCTGATTGATTCACATATTGTATTGACATATGACTGTTGACATTGCTTTTTAGTCTCCAATATTTTAGTGAGTCATGCTTTTGAAATGACAATAAATTTTTATTACCCAACCCTTGAGTTGTTTTGTTCTTCATTAACCCAACCTTTTACTCACTCAAAATTTTGTTTACCCAACCCTTTTCTCTTTGGTGCCACCCCCCGCCATAAATAATGACCGCTCCCTTATTCAGCCATCAAAAATGGTTATTTAGCCACCAAATCCGGCTATTCAGCCACCAAACCCTGCTATTCAGCCAACAAACTTGGCCTGTCAGCCTTCAACGTCAACACTTAAATGTTCAAGCAGAGGCTTCCCAACACGATGCAATTCGTAATATTTCTTCGAGGCTATACGACTCTGAGATTGCGGCCACTTCGTGGTCCCCGTCGGATGAATTTACAAAGATTCTGGAGAAACATTTCCGCCGAAAATTGACATTTGATCAAGTATGCGACATATTAGAGGAACAAGCTGTTCCTTCAGTTGATACTCTTGTAGCTCCAACTCTTGACCCTTCCATGCTTGAATATGTCGCGGTTCAAAACAAAAAATTCATACAAGAACGCGACAAAGAGATCACAGTTATTCAACGTGCTATGCTTAACGCTACCGGCCCATTAGGCACATTGCATGATCAACTCAGGCAGGATAATAACCTCAAATCTGAAGATCTCAAATTAATATTGGAACAAACTCTTTGTCTCCTGGGTTCTGCAAATACACATTTGTCTGTATTACGTCGCAAGAAAGTACTTGCCATCAACAAATCCAAAATCGAGTTAGCTACTCGACCACTGCCAAATGCTAAGAAATAGCTTTTTGGTGATGATTTTCCGTCTACCGTGTCTAAAGAGGCAGAAGTAATTATCCCGCAGTCTCGCCAAGAATTTGGCACCAGTACCTAAGCTTCACAAAACAAAACCCGGATACGGGTCGTGGGACTCAAGATAGCAGCCTCTTCAAACAATCTCAATGTCTTCAGTATATTTAGTATCGAACTTTCCCTTAGCCTCATTTTAATAATATATTCTTTTGTTTTTTTTATAATGACCAATAACAAGGTTTAAATAAAAAAGTCTTTCCAAAAAATGTCTTTCTCAAATCACAATGTCTTTCCAAAAACGGAAAGTATCAACATTTTCGCCAAAGACAAAACTTTTTCGTCCCCCTCGGTTTCAACAGTCTCAGCTGCGAAACTTCCTCAATTCATCGAACAATGGAAAAATACAACCTTGCGATGTTAGAAATTGTTACAGGAATAAACATTCCTTTTCGATATGTTCCATTTCGAACGTCTCCACAAATGACAAAAATACTTCCGGAGTCAGTTCCAATTTTAGAGCAGGAAGTTCAAAACCTGCTAGCGAAAGGGGCAATATGCGAGGTTCCCTTCACAAAAGACGGTTTTTACAGTCGGTTATTTTTAATCCCCCAAAAGGTGGGAAATATGCGTCTAGATATAGATCTGAGCCTCCTAAATTGCTTGGAGGTGAACCGCAATTGATATCCAATGGAAAATCGATAAGGAGATAACTGATACTCTGCTTTTGCACCACCCACTGTTGACGTCATCAAAACTATAGAAAACGCCTTCTACTCGATCAGATTGATCTGCTTCGTTCGCAGGTTAGCTTCGCTCTCAATTGGCATTAAAGATAATTATAGCCCCTCTCCAACCACACTTGTTTGGTATAACGGTTAAATAATTGTTCTTTCTTTTAGATTGCCTGACAACGTGTTGTTTGTTTTTACCATTCTGCTTGGTGTCTACCTAGCAGCGCGGAAGTTCAAGCAAGTCAATCCAACATCAGACTACTCCCTCTGCCAGATATGTTTCTGTCTTTCTTTTGCATTCCTAGCATGTACCGTTATCGCATACCTTTACACCTATATCATTGTCGAATATTTTAAGAAAACACAAAACAAGATAAGGAAAGCCATGATCGCCGCCCTTACACCAGGAATAGTATTGCTACCTACTGCTGTTGCAAAATACCTTGTACTGCGAAGAAGCTCAGAGTTGATTCCAGCAGATAAAGCTTTTGTGATGTGCTACTTCTTACGCGGGGGAGCAATTGGACTTTACCATACAATGCAGTCGGATTTTCAAAATATTTGGCTCTTTATTGGCTTGTCTTTGCTACATGGCGTTTCAAATGTTTTGAGTAAAACAACACTAAACCTTCGTATCAAAATGTGGAAATGTTTCATTGGTTGCGCCAACAAGACTCGTTGTGGGGCGACCCTAGCGGTGTTACCCTCTGATACTCCACGTATTCGTCGTTTTAACGCTGACATTGAAATCCAAAATATTTTGTTCGAATACACCACGGTTATCTTCAGTCAAGCATATTTGGTTCTTTACCTCATCGCTAATTTTAATATTGTTCATCCATGGGAAATTATCAAAGGTTCCTTGGTCAGAATTTCCATAAGTACAGTTATAGATTTCGTCTTCAACATTATTTCAGTGTTTATTCAAGTTCATTTCTATGATATTCCCATGCGTAGGGTGTGGTTAAAATATTGGCGACGTCACATGATTGCGAATGCTCTCACCATCATTTGTACAGTATCATATTTTGGTGCGTCGCTGGTCAGTGTGTTCGCGGCGCGCGAAGACAGGTTACTGGAATACAAATTAAGAAACTGTACAATACCTATTTGAAAAACATGTGTGACTACAAATGTAGGCATGTTGCATAGCTTCAAAAGCATGTTGCATAGCGTCCGAAGCCCAAACGTTTGGTGTTTCATTCAACAATTTGGCCGTTATGATTGGTCTGCCCTTGTAAATGGAAAGCGCCATTTGTGATTTCACATTTAGAAGAATATTTCTGTTAAATGTTCAACCACAGACAGGGGCGGCGCTACAGGGGTGTGTGTGTGTGTGGAGGGGGGGACACCCCCCACTCGTCAGCTAATCGGAAAATTGTTATCTCAGTCGGCAAAACTGGATTGGCTAAAGAAAACCACTGAAGAAACCAAAATTGACCTCCTGAATAATTGAATTCAAACCGAATATCACGAATAGCATGCATCAAAGAAACCACACATGCAGCAATGCAATTTTTTTCGAATACAGTATCTTCACTTCTGGCAGCTAGTCCAAAAACATAATATTATTGAAATCATAATTAGGTAATTAAATTTGTTTGGTGGTTGTTGTTGTTGTTGTTGTTGCTTATTATACTGTTCTATAAGAGGCAATGAAGTGGGTTTTCCACTAGCGAATTTTCTCGCACGAAGCGACCTTTTTCCTTTGTCGGTATCACTTATTACGTCAGCAAGACGTGGCAAAATCAGTCCTCGAAAACGAAGTCGGCATTCGGCAATGCCGGGTTAAATGCAAATTTCTGCCCACCTTAATTCAACTAAAGTAAGAATTTTATGCTGATAGCTTTTAAAATGTCAGCAAATTCGATTAATTGAACACACTACGGTGTAAGGTGTAAAAACTGACGGGTATTGTGTATATACGTTAGATGTTTGAAGATCAAATTTCGCGCGTCTGGAGTTAAAATTTGGCTCCAACTTTCGAATTTTCCGGCTGGAGGTAACGTTGCAGGTATATTCCGATTTCAATGATTCGAAAATGCGTGATTGATATTGCTCCAAGACGTGGAACAGATTTTAGGAAATGCCGAGATGTGCCGACCTAGGTCAGATTTAGGTCGGCCCTCTTTTGCCGACCTCAATTTTGACGGTTTTGACTTTTCGAGGGCTGCAAAATGGATGCCGACAAAGGAAAAAGGTCGCTTCGCGCAGAAATATTCGCTAGTGGAAAACCGACTTAATAGAGGGTAATAAACTGCATTTAAACATGCACATTTAAACCTGATTTCCACTAGGCGGAATTTTGCGCGCGCAGCGGAAATTTTCTTTGTCTTTTCTAATTAGTTCCACATGAGAAATCACAAGACAAAGAAAAATTCCGCTCCGCGCGCAAAATTCCGCCTTGTGGAAATCAGGCTTTACTATAGATGGCCCTGAAGGGGTAAAATGGGAACTGGGATAGACCTATTTTTAGACTGGGAAAATGGGATTTGGCATGGGTTGCTGGGACTGGGATTTGGCCACTGGGAATGGGAAATGAAAAATGGGAATGGGATTGAAGTAATGTGAGTCGATTCCCAATTTTGATCCGTTTTTGGTGTCTTTAGTCATGATTTTTGTTGTCAACTATATTATCCACAGCATTACCTGGGAACAGGCATACTCTGGCGCCCGGAATTTTGGGTTTACTGATTATGCGTGTCTCAGAATGATGCAAATGCCATTTCCGAGATTCAACACACACGGTGGCTTAAAAGGTCTTAAAACTGTTTATTCTGCCGATAAGTAAAGGGTTTTTTATTGACTGGGATATCAATAACTCGGACTGGGATTTCTAATAAAAATCTAACTGGAACTGGGATTTTGCCAAAATTTCAGGTGGAAAATGGGATTGGGATCCGCTCCCACTTCAGGACCCTCACTATAGGCTAATGACTCGCCAAAATTACCAAACAACAGTCGGGAAAAGATCACTCCCCCCCCCCCCCCCCTCCACTCGAAGAGGGTTAGCGCCGCCCCTGACCACAGAGACACATTCAGGGCGTACACAGTCATCTATATAACTGGGTACAAACTCCCTTTCCCAGCCCCAACAATGGCCACTTTGCCCCCCTCAGTCAACCGTTTTGACCCCTCCCCCTTTATTTAAGATGCTTTCCCTTTAAATATAAGCAAAAATTGGAATAAAAATTGCATTTAGAAGAAGTTTGATATTCTAGTAACTAAACCTTGCCTTGTGAATCGTATGCCATGTCTTTTATCTTCAAATGTCTTATGCCATGTCTTTTACCTTAAAAAACGTCAATTAATTTAAACATTGTGTTGCATGTAAATACCTCAGATTTTAAATATTTTCCAGCGGATAGCATATCCCAGACCCTATAGATGAGAATTGAGTTTTTGGAAGGCTTGTTTGAGCACGTTAGTCATCGAGTTGTGGTATTTACATTAACATACCACGCGAGTACTTAAAAAGCACAAAATGCAGTTTTAGGGGAGGAAAGTACGAATTTTTTCTGGGGGAGAATTAATGTTCCAAGACCCTCCTACTATTACATACGACCACACCCAACGATTGCCACCAACCTGGCGGCAGCATCTGTCATCTCTCCACACTGAATATGGCCTCTTTTCAGTATGATGGTCTCTTTGTGTAGATGCCCCCCCCCACTGACGAATTCTTAAAAAGGCTGGAACCATTAGGCAGATTTAGATCCAAGTCGTATTCATTCGACATCAAATGTGGTTTTCGCATACCAAGAATATTAATTTGAAAAATATCAAAATAAAGGGTTGAATAACATGCATAATGCTCCAGAACACGGGCAGGTATCAGTTTTCAAGTTTACTTGCAAAGTTTCACTTTCTCCCCATATTCCTAAAATTGTTTGCATGATTGGAAAAGCTAAATAAATAAATTTATTATTAGCATGACAAAATTACTGGATGCTGATTGGTTGAGAGGAGTGCAATTATTTCATTAATTGTACTGCAGTACAAATTAATGATTTTCCCAAAACAAACAAAATGGCGGAAAATATATTTTAAACACAAATGTGAACTGAAATTTCCCTAGAGGAACTCAAGTAATCATGCGATGTTGCTCGTACAATTATCTCGTGGGCGGCTCGTCCAATTTTGGCAAAATTTCCAAACATCACTTGCACTATTAATCCTTATAAATTGTACCCGCCATCGCATGATTACTATAGAAATATAATATACAAATAAACCAAATAGTGTAGTCACCCATTCATCTATTTCAATTGTTGTTCTGTCCATCACTACTACAGAGTGTATAAAAAAAGGAGACCTTTAGAGATCAACCATATTGTTAAAATTTGAATGCCTTTTCAATTGCACATATATGCTGAACCGTAGTGCTTTACATATTGATCGGGTGCATATATTAGAAAAAGGAGACCTTTAGAAATTGAAATAATGTTTAAGCACAAGATTGTCCGCTCCTGGGAACAATCTCAGCCATGCATACTGTACGTAGATCGCATGTAACGGCATGTTACGCACTCGCGGGCTTAGCAAAGGGTTCCACGATTCAAATTATAACAATGCTTGATTTCTAAAGTTCTCATTTTTCTAATATACAAGGGTGTCCCAAAAAACCCGAAAACTATTGAAATCACTTATTGTTAAATTTGAATGCCCTACTAAACAACTGAACGTAATGATGCGTAAAATAGTGACAAGATGCATGTATTACAATTTAGTTCAAAACATCTCCTTGTAATTTGCGCGATTTTCTGCTCTTGGGAAATTAAAACAGCTTCTTAAACAGTTTCTTTATGCATAAAATTTACTTATGTCAATCATTTATGCACTCATGGGAACCAACAGAGCGCTAAGGCATTCAAATTCTAACAATCAAATTGTTATTGGTGATTTCAATAGTTTTCGGGTTTTTTGGGACACCCTGTATACTGTATATGCACTCCATCAATATTTCACTCACCACGCACCATTCAAATTTTAACAATATGCTTGATTTCTAAAGGTCTCCTTTTTTATATACACCCTGTATATAATATTGTATGGGTAAATATCAGGATTTGGGGCATCTAGAAGGGTTTTGTAGATGGAGATTTCGAGTGTGAATTTTATCTCGAACTGTATACCTGGAAATGAGTCGAAATTTCTGTCTACACACTCTTGTACTATTTGTATTGTATGTATGTCATTCGTATAATTTATCTGCCAAAGTTGAAAAAATGAATACATTCAGTATTTTTAAACTTTAAGGTTTCAATGATGTTTAAAGAAGAGATAGAATCTCGTATACGTTTGCCCTTAGTAATGGCGGATATCTATTTGTCTAACAATGTAATTGGATTCATTTTCTGCACCAGTAGCAATAGGTTGCGCTGTCCATCTTCTTCTTGTTCTGAGATCAGTGATCCGGATACGTATGGACGACTGGGCGCACAGTATTTCTGTCTCTAAGGTCCTGTTCACACGGGGCTAGATGAATTCGGAACCGTACTTAAATTCGCCCGGTTTCGCTTTGCGTTCACTCAATCACACGGGAGGCGGCAGCGGACGAGTTTCAGTACAACGAACTGTACGAATTCGAGACTAAATAAAATTCGGTCTCATTTTGAACGGAAATGGCTCCTAAATTAGACGGTCTCTTTCAAGACCCTTTTGAACGGTGAAGAGTTGGCATTGATCGACTGATTGAGATTTGAGACCATTTACGCACGCGCACGTAAAAACGTCCGGGACCACAATTCATCCGGTTCCGTGTGAACACTTTTCGTCTCGTAATTAATCTTGTTTCGTGTGAACATGTAGAATAGGACGAATTTGAGTACTGTTCCGGATTCATCCAACTCCGTATGAACGTAGACTAAATTTGGGGTTTTTTTGTTGCAATGTTTCCCTCCTTTACCGAACAGAATTCAATTCGGCAATTCAAAATTTAGGGATGAAAACGTGAAAAATATTCAAACACATAGTCATGTCCAGAAACCACTTTGGGAATGATTTCAGTTACCAAAATTTTGCTCACATTGAAATTTTATTTATAATAAAAGTATAGAGATTTCTGTGCCGTCAGGCCCGTCACTGCCGTAAGATGGCCGACTGAGGCCAGGGATCGAAGTTTTCGAAAACAAGACGACTGCTCAGGCGATTATACTGGCCTGAAAATGGCAACTTTCGTGTAATGCGTGGTAGAGAAGTAGATAGGAATACAGGAGGTCTGGACCATATAAATACAACCAATAAGGGACCGGTCATAAAGTATTTACTAGGGGGTGTGGAGGATATTTTTGGGGATACGAAAAAAATCCAGAACCTCTGAGGAGGGGAGGGGGGTACGAGAAAAACAACAGAACCTCTAGGGGGTTACCAAAATCTTAGTACTATATAGTACGCGAAAAATTGCATTTTATAATTAGTGTTGAATATTGAATGTATCTGTGCCCAAGGGCTGGTTGTATAAAAAAGTAATTAAAGGTAACTATAATTAGTGGAACGTCATAAGAAGCGCGTATTTGAGAGTTAATCACTATTTAACTACAAAATAGTGATTA